CTTAAAAGCCTGAATTTTGCCTGAAACTCTCAGACTGAAGAAGTCTCTTGGAGACGAGACGAAACGTTTCATTAGAGAAGAAGACCTACACAATTTTTTTTCTTTTTAATTTGTAGGAAAAATAACCAAATAAGTCTAAAGTGTAAAGAAAGGAAACGTTTTGGATAAAATACCTTATTTATATCAAGTGTAAAGAATACTGAATAATACTGTTTTTGTGTTCAGTGAAGTGTTTTATGGACAATTTGAATCCTGTTTTAAGCCAGCTCGGATATTTTTAGCAATAGCTGCCATTTTTTTCCAGATGAATGAAAAAGATAAAAGTAATCACAGAGCATCTTTTTCTCAGCACCTCTCTGATTTTCATTTTGACTCAATCTATGAGCTGAGATTGGCTCTGGTTTCCTTCCTCAGTGCAAACTTTTGCTTAAATTGTTCATTCTTCATTCTATCACAGACACACAAATACTGCTTCTCTCTGCTGCTCTTCTTCGCTGAAGCTTTTACATCAATATCTGAGGCCCTTTTTGGGTTTTTACAAATATTCAGACTAAGGGCATAACTTTATATCTGCCTATGGGGGGATTAGGGTCTCTGCCTATTTATTTATTTATTTATTTATTTATTTATTTATTTATTTATTTATTTATTTATTTATTTATTTAAACATTTACTGTTTTGAAACAATTCAGCATATTCTGGTGTTAAAATACGTTGCAATGTTTCTTACTGTGATTTACTTAACTTTTGTGTTTTCTTTGTATTTACTCTGCACCTTTCTGTTCCACGTCAGTTCAAAGGCTTAAAAACGGCAATTACAACACATGATTCAACAAATACAGCCAAAATGTGACAAGAATAGACTAAAACTCTGCATGTTATTTTCAGCAGTTATAATTAAACGTACATATTTGACATTGTAAATGTTGAAATCAGGTCAAAGTTGCCTAAAGACAACAAGAGAGTTGCAGCTGTGTACTTAACCAGTTCATTCTATTGCCTCCTTACCACTGCACCAGAGCCTTTCCCAGAGCTTGTTTCCTGGCTCAGCTGTTGATTTGCTCAAAAATAAATAAATGAAACAAACTCATCATGTTGCCAAGAACATATCAGTCTAACGAAGCTGAAATATTTACAACAATCATTTATATTTTATATTTTAATACTGATTATTAAAAATGGATGTAAGGTCATTTACAGAAATTAATCTGTAAACTAATCCTGCCTTTAAATTGATTTTCTTCTTTTAATGAAAATCTAAGTCCAACAAAGAACATGACTTGTATAAATACTTGTTTTATGTCAAAACTTCAGAATAAAGACGGAACTGTTACATCAAACTATTTCTCTTTTTATATAGGCTGACTTCTAACAAAGGAACAGCAGCTGTTGTGAATTCCCCAGGTGCCTCCTTTGCTACAACACCACTTCAGAGGATCTCAAGGGGAAATGTTTCTAGTAGACAAGGCGAGTTCATCCCTGAGTGTTTGGGAATATAAGAGGGAGTAGACAGTGTGCATAAAGATATACACACTGCTACACACAGAGGTAGAAGTCTAACTTTAGTGAACACAATCTTCAGTGAAACAGTTGGAGTAAATTACATATACAGCCTTTTCACACACGACTGTCACTGCAGATGGGACAGATTAAATCTGCAGCTTTACTTGTTCTCAATTAAAATGTTGTGCAGAGCAAGCTTTCTCCTCCTGTCTCACACAGTTTGTGTGTCTTCTGCCTTTTACACTGATTGGTCCTCCTCTCTCTGGTCATGCTGCAGTGAAGAGAAATGACTTGGGACGGACAGAAACGGCAGCAGAGGTTAATCAAAGGCACTAAAGGTTAGTAATTAGATAGTTAATGTAGCACTAACAAGGACAATCATTCTCCACATTTAGTGAATAAAATAAGCCTCACTGATGTAATTACATGCATGTGTTCTGTTAATGATGGATCACTTGTTTAAGCAGGTGAAGCAGTGTTTAATAAAAAAAGCTTGGTAATTTAACAAACGTGGGTCCGTCATTAACAATTTTTTTTAATAAGGTGTTTTACATTTAATTTTATGTAAAGTTTATTTTTAACTTTGTGTTGTTTATTATGTTATAATCTACAACAAAATTAGTTAATAACTATCTGCAAGCAAAATAAAAGACAGATCTCAATAGTTTCCTCAAAAAGGCAAAATATGTTGTTTTTTTAAATAAAATGTAGTGTAAAATACAAATTAATTTGTTTAGTAATGTAGTTCTTTACTTAAATCCAAGTATTTACGTACCTTCTGTTTCTGTATTTTGTCCATTTTTCTCAATCAACAAACAAATTTTGACTCATATTTCCAAAGAACGTGATCTATAGGAGCTTCAATCACCATTTGCCACTCTAGTGTGTAATAAATTTAATGAAATCCTTTTAGATTCATTTGATCGTACAGAATTTTGATTTTTCGTAGCAAACATGCCAATCCAACTGACAGCTTGACTCTGCGCCAAGAATGACCGTATTTCACCAAATGATTTCTAATCGTTTACTGATGAGCACAATAAAATATTCCCATTAAGACTATTTTGGTCTGGTAAAGTCATTACGGATGATTTATTATGTTTGCCAAACACCACATGCTGTAAAGTACAGAACTGGAGGTTATCCAGAACACACTGAGATCACTCATCACAAAGTGACTGCTCGTGTTTGCGTGCAGCCTCAGAACAAGAAACAACATGATCTGTCTTCTGGTATCATGGGATCTGCATGGTGACATGAGAAAATGAGATGTTATTTTAGTAATAAAATATATTACCAACAAGGTCAGACAGGTAAAACCCTTATCAATCTTTAGGCAGCGTGTCTGCACAGTCCAGAAACTGCAAAAGTTGTGTTTTTTAGATTAGTATGTTTTATTTGTTGCAAAGCAGTGATTTCACAAAACCTTTGGACTTTGTCACTTGACTTCATTAAGGAGCAGCTTGCTACATTTGAAAGTACAACCCCAATTCCAATGAAGTTGGGAGGTTGTTAAAATTGTAAATAAAAACAGAATACAATGATTTGCAAATCCTTTTCAACCTATATTCAAATAAATACACTAGATATAATATTCAAACGGATAGACTGAACTGAACTGAACTGAACTGAAATGAACTGAACTGAATACTAAAACCAGAGCTGGGTCAGTGGGTTCTGATGTTATCAGTCCATTAAATGTACGTTATTGGCAGTTATCAGTCCCATAGAATGGCTTCAGACTGTCCCACCAGTACCCCCTAGAACAGTGTTTCCCAAAGTTGGGGTCGGGACCCAAAGTGGCGTCCCGAAACATCAAGGTGGGGTCCTGAAAAGATTTTCAGAATTAATTACATTTTTGCCTTAGTTGTTACTTAGTTGTTCTCGCTGTTTTCTTGTTGCCTGTGCCTGGTCTCGGTCTTGGCTCTCCTGCTCTCTGGTCTGGCGCTCAATCCATTGCCCTACGTTGGGCCTGCAACAAAGGTCCACTTTATCGTAGCCCATGTCATTTAATCTAAAATAAACCGTAGTGGCTTTATGCCTCATATTAACCAAATTGCATTTAAAACCTTAGTGGTTTTATGCCTCACATGAACTAGGTTGCAAAAGAAAACCTTAGTGATTTTATGCCTCATATTAACCAGATTGCAAACAAAAAACTTACTGGTTTTATGTCTCATATTGACCAGATTGCAAACAAAAACTTCCTGGTTTTATGCCTCATATTAACCAGATTGCATAAAAAAACTTAGTGTCTTTATGTCTTATACTAACCAGCTGACAGTCTGAAGCCATTCTATGGGACTGAGAACCCACTAGGCGACACAGTCAGGACATTCTGAAGCCACTCAATGGGACTGATAACGACTAATAACGTCCATTGGATGGTATTCCGCATCGGATGATAACATCCGAAGCAAGTGGCTGGGTTGTAGAGCTAGTCCAACAATTTAGTTCAATTATCTGAATCATCTAATATTAGCTACTTTATAAGATGTGACAACAAGTCAGTGCTGAAGTTAAAACAGCAGCTGTTACGACCAGTTTAGTGTAAGTATTTTTAATCAAAAATGTTCTTCTGTTCTAAAGTTTGTTGAAAACACTTTTAGTTGTAAGCAATTATTGTTGTATTTTGTTAAATGAAAAAAAAATACATACTGACCAAAACATTAAAAAAATCAGTCAGTGTTTTTTCTGATACGTGAAGATAGGTGTTGATTAAAAGAATCACTCATATTGGTCAACATTTACCTTGGAGATTGTTGCTTCTTTAGCCCACTTGTCTTTGCAAAGAGTGCATTACGTGTTTTATCTGTTATCAATAGTTCTGCTCAATAACCATTTCGCAGACCAATCAAGGTAATACCTTGGTAAAATATTACTGAATAAAAAATACTATATGTTTGCATTTTTTTAGATCTGATTTGATCTGAATTTGTTCAGACTTTGAATAAATTGGTTGTGAAAAGGAGTGCCAGGTATCCAGGAATAGTGATATCCTGCCAAAAAAGGTTTTTTTTCCTCATAAAAGAATGTCATTGTAAGCCTGAATAGTGACACGGTACCCTGAGATACTGTATAGATGAGCACTTAGCGTAGGGAGCTGAGAGGAGGTGTGGAAGAGGAGCTGAAAGAAGAAAGACACCACGAGTTGCAGGGTGTAGGTGGTACCCACGCAGCCCAGCCGAGGCGAGGCTCAGGCAGTGTGAAGTTAGACTGAAATCTCTCAGGAAGGGACTGATCAAAGATAGGGTACAGGAGGCCACAATACTGCTCACACACTTTGAGGCAGCAGCAAACAAACATCTCTGTGAATCAACTCAAAGAAACACACTTGTTCCCTTGACTTCTATTGATTGCTTTCTGTGTCTCTCTGCTTTTTCTCCTGTTTCAAAATCCCTGCAATAAGAGCCRGTCTTCCCTGGAAAAACATTTAGTCAATAGAAATGTAGCTCTACACCACACTGAAGCTTTATGCTTTGTTCTTTTCCTTCATTAGTTTTGTTGGTTATATAGGTAGGCACTACACTAGCAGTGCTGGAATCACAGGCTCTGCTCATAAACCACATTGTTTCTGAGCTGTGTTATTTACTKTCAGGGCTTCTGTGAATGGCTGCAAGCTCTGGTTTTAGATCTGAGAAAAGGATGAGGAGTGGAAGGAGACAGACTTTGTGTAGGAACGAAACAAGTGTTCAGATGGAGGCAGTTGGGTCAGCTGGAGCTTCTACAAACTTTAATAAAGCACAGAACCTCTGTGCTGAAACTGAAATACTGTTTAACTCAGCAGACTGTGTTTTAAAACACCATCAACCCATTTTTTAAATGTACATATTAACAAAGACAACGCATTGCTGATGCAAGTTGGGATCACGTTAGCACATTCACATTAAACAGGTTATCTGGCTGTAACTAAAATACAATTATTCATGGCTTTTCTTGGTTATTTTAGAGCAGCAAATGAATCACTAGCTGCGTTTCCATTGACCATGAAAATGCGCAAATTAGAATTTCGAAAATAAATTTGCTCAATGGATACATGTCAATTTCGAAAAAACTTCCTTTTTTTGACAAAATGTTTTTGCTCCAGGATGATGGGGTTTTTCGGCCGTATCGAAATTGGTGTTATTCGCAAAACTGCAATGGAAACAATTTTTTCGCATCACGGGAGTCACGTGATCAACAACCGGCTGTTTCTATTGGTGAAAAAGATGACGAAGAAGATAGGAAGTAGAAGTAGTGTATCACAGAGGTAGTAAAAGAAAGTAGTAAACTCACCGACTACAATTTCCCAAAAACACAGCATTCGTAGCCGCTCCCAAATAGGGGCTTGTCACTGGAAAGCCTTGATAAGACGCTACGTCTCCTCTGATGATGAGTGCTAGTGTCGCGGTAGCAATATGCTATGTGTTTACATCCATTGCCGCCATGTTTGTAATGACTTATCGTGAGAGCAAACGTATTCACGCATGACTTTAATAGCATTTCTTAATGGAAACACCGCAGTTGTGAAACTGTGTTTTTTTGACATTAACAGAATATCAACAAAGTTTTGCGCACATTTGCAATGGAAACACAGGTAGTGAAGTATTCTTTAGAACCACTGGAGTTTTTCCCAACTCTAATAAATGATGAATCACCATTTCAATACAAAACCAAGACAGACTCACAATCATGTATGTTCACTCCTGAACTCCCCCTGCTGACCGACAAAAAAATTGAAAGCTTCCATTTGTTGTCCTCCGGTGGCATCCCTCTGTGCACTGTCCCCAGTCAGAACTCGTCGGCATGTGATTGGTCAGAACTTTGTGGGTGTGTTTATTCATGTGGSGCAGCACAGCTCCTTGGAGTGGTACTCTGAGCTGCGCATCTTTCTGCATGTTATTTAGTGGAAAATGATCCGTTTATAGAAGCAGTTTGTTAAATTATCAATAAGCACAGCTTTGATCAGCTGGTCCTGT